GTCTTGACCGGTTCGCTGATGTTCTATTAAATACACCCGTAGAAAATGCCTTTCTAACGGCCAGACATCACTGAAACTTCGTCAACTACGCCATTCCACAACTCTGAGTGCATGGAAAAGAAAAAATCGAAGAAAAACGGCCTCGCGCAACTTTTCGACTCTTGGCACAACTTTTCGACTCACGATCTGCCAGTCGTTTCTCTTCTTCGCTTTCCTCCTTCCCAGCATCCCCCGCGTCTTGCGACTCCCAACAAAGGAGACAAGAGAGACGACTGGGGACGAGTCAGGTTTAACCCCATTGTCACCCTTTATGAATGTCCAAGTGGCGTAGAACTATCTATATATAAGAAAGTAGACTTTGGGGGATGATTGGCGTGTCATAGTGCTGGTGGATAAAACTTTGGTAGAGTAATAAGGTTGAAAATTATGTCATGTGCACTGACGTGGTACGGCCACAAAATCCTGGAAAGCCTTTCAGTAAAGGGAACAGCTTATACCAAGAGTATTAACTAGTACCAGACAAGTTACAATGCCAACAGCCAAAACAATATTCTTGGCAATCGTTACATCATCGAATTTAAAATAAACGGTAGTAGTAATATACGCTAGACTAGACCTGATCCTGACAGGTAGTCATCAAATGAAATCACCATAGCAACCATCCTTATTTGGTCATAGACTCCTCCCCTTTTCGATGTAGCGTGACTTAGCCATAGCAACCATAAAATTGATTGACAGGTAACCATAAAAATTGATTGACAGTTGCCCGTTTCTGACAAGTAGGTTCTGCGCATAAGAGGAATTATAGGATTGATTTTTATCGATTATGAATAAATTATAAAACATGACATCATGTATCATGGTGTGGTTTCAGTAATCGTCGGAAAAGGTGTGACATAATCATCGGAAAGGGATCGGACAAAACCGACGACAACAACGGTGATTGTAATAAAGCGATTTTTAATAGCACTAAGTTACATTGCGGGACGTTTGCGGGGTCCTGGTGACCACCGCGCCCGACTTACACAAACATCAAAAAAGTTGACCTTGACGCTCTACCGGTTGTAGTAGATTGGGCTACTGTATATCGAGGAGAATGTTTGTGAGGGCTTCGTCTTCAGCGGTAAATCGAAGGTAGCCATACGGGTAAGTTTGAAATGTCACGGGATCGATGACACGTTTGTTGTAGACCAATTGGTATTTCTTGGTCTGAGACACGGTATGAATGGCATACTGTTTGGCATCGCGCACAATGTGATAGGGCTTGACAATGGCGTTCTTGGTTATATACCTTTGGGAGTCACGTGGTTATGAACCAATGAGAAGTCGGGGGATGTGGGGTATCCCTACAGTAACAGATTTATTCATGAATGGTTACTAGGGATGTGGTATCCCACAGTAACAATTAATATTCAAAAAATTAGAGACAAGGGATACGGTATCCCACAGTAACATTATGTATATTAAATATAATTGTTTAAAATAAAACACTGAGTCTGATGTTTACTTTATAACATTAAAGTTTATTGAACAATAACATGAACTCCAGCAAAGGCATGGAGACATTTTTACATTTTTAACTTTTTCTTAGCTTGCATTATTTTCTTTACAATATTTTCAGTCATGGTATGTTTGCCTGGCAAGTTCGTAATAGCTCTAATCATTTTCTCGTCGGCTTTCCATTTATCTCTCAAATTCTTAGCACGCGAATAATCGATATCGTGTTGTCTAGCAATCTTGTCCAGTCTGTTAATGCCAGGATCGCCTCTAGCCAGTCTTTTCTTGAGATGTGTTCCGGGTCCCATATATTGGTAACCAGGCCAATGAAATTCTATACCAGTCTTGTCTATAAGTTTTTGAATATCGATTCCGGTACCGCGTTGTCTCCTTTTTCGTTTCAGGGGTTGACGTTTTCTAGTCCTTTTCCTCGTCATATTCCAATCGCCTTCTCTGTTTTCTACCTGCTGCCAAATCCTCCCAACCGGGTAAAGGTTTGAGTCGTTCTGCTTCTGTCTTGTGTTTGGTTTCTTTTCGTTTCTCGCGTATGCGTTCGATGTCTTCCCTTGCTTTTGCTAGCCTCTCAGCACTCTTCCAAACACTTTCCAATAGTTCTTCTCGCGGTGTTTTTTCTCTCGAAATGATTGGTGTTTGGGTAGGTGTCCTCTTTTTCTTGGGTTTAGCTCCCGACTCTTTTAGTTCTTCTAGTACAGCATGGAATCCTGTCGCTTTTCGTTTTTTATACCAGAAGGACCAGGTGTAACTTTCTCGAGTTTTATGGATGTGGAAGGTGTAGCTGTCTCGAATTTTATAGACTTGGAAGGCGTAGCGACCGCTTGACCGGGTCTTTTCACTGTATTCTTAACGATTTGTTTTAACAAGTTGTCCAAAGTACCGTTCGCCAATATACCATCCTCTTCGACATCGGGTGGAGGTTGGCCGCCAGCTAATGAAGTCACACCCGGAACTTCCCTCAAGCGTTTAGTGAGTCTTTGCCGTTCTCTCCTTAACTTCTTTACCCTAGCATTGACAATAGCATCTGGGATAGTTTTATCTTGTAACAACAAATGAGTCTCTGCAGCTACTCGACCAGCTTTGTTCAATAAAGCACTGTCTGATATTTCACCCTTGTAGTATTGTACTAATCGATTAAATTCCTCCGGTTTTTACCATCATCACTTCTTGAGCCATGATCGACTTCGTCTCGGGGAGTCTGATAATATTTTTCCAACAGTTCCTCGTAACCTTTTTGCCAGTACTCGATTTCCTTTTTACTTTTCTCCCGACTCTTGATGCATTCGCTGCAGTATTTATTGTAGTCGTACTTGTTCAGTTTACACCCCTCACACTGAATCTTTTCCACTAATGTCAAGTATTTTGTTCGTTTGTCGTTGTAACACTTGTGCCAATGATCAGCTCTCTCGCTCTCTTCTTGCATTTGATTTTTCCAATACTCTACTTCTGCTTTAGCATTATGTAGAGTTTTTAGTTTGTCCGTACAGGTTTCACAAATTTCCACCGTTTGTCCCTCGTGAGTATTCTGATCTAAACAGTCTTGACAAATAATATATTTCATCGCTACATTCCCGATGCGACTGTATTTCTCGTACTCGCCTTTCCAGTAATCGCACTTTTTCTCCAGACCAGCGCACCTGTCATTCAATTCGTCTATTTTCTGGTTAGCTTTGCATAGTAATGATACAATAATGTTTATAGGAGGTGCTGATGACATGGTTACTTGTGTAGACAATTGCAGAACGCTTCGTTCAATCCTCGCCAGAATCCAGCACCCTTCTGATTCAACAAATGTTGTTTGCGTCGTTTTATGGAATTTCTTCGCTTAGCCAATTCTCGTAAAACCTGTTTGTGACGTTTGAGTTTAGCCGTGGTTGGAGGTGACAACGGTACTCGATTCTTGAGTAAATTTATCACAAATTCACTCACGGCATTGATCTGATCACTGTTGGCATGTTGCAGCATATCCTCTCGAATGTTTCGATTTCCCTCTCTCAAGATAGATGTCAAGAACGCCCGATGTCTCTGTATTCGTTTCATCGTCTGAACGGAAAGCCACTCCTTCTAGGTCTGCGACGATTATAATCCACATTATCTTTTATACCTTTGAATACTTGAGAGGCTAGTTTTCCACCCAAGGTAGCAAAGGTAGGCGAAGGACCAGATAGAAACATACTCATTCCTTCGGCAATCTTGTCCGTGAGAGTAGGTTTACGTCTGAACACGGCACCGCCTCTCTGTCTTCTTTTCTTTATTCGTTTGCGCCGTACAATTTGTCTCTTTACCCTCCTCTTGGGCATTTCTACATCAAACAACAGTTTTTCGTTCCGTCTCGTGTTCCGTACCCTTTGTCAAGTATCCAACTGTGATAACTCTTGGTTCCACCTCGTCTTTTATACGCTCGATATTGTTGCTTGTAACCTTCGACAGTACGTTTTGCTTTGTCCACATCTATCGGAGTGTTGACAACTTTAATCATATCTTTGGTTACTTTGAATCCTTTTTTGAAATCTACCACCCAAGGGATTTTTCCTCCACTTTGAGTTTGTTTGCGTAGTTTTCTTCTACTTTTCTGTTTTTTTATTTCTGCCTTTTTCCTTCTTCCCATTGCGCTCAGTTTCGCACACTGCTCGAAGTATAATTGACTGTGGGTCTACCACCATCTTTATAAGTAGTGGTATGAGTGACTATGTCATTCTGTAACATCGCATGCACCCCTCATTTGTTAAGAGGTGACTCAAGACTCGGGTAGAATCGTCACTGGCAGGATGTAAATCCAATGTCAAGTATCCAAAGGACCGCTCTGTCACTTTACGATACACGTCCATGATATCTTGCCAATTCGAAGGAAAGGCTTGAAGTAGTAAATTCCTCAGACCCAGTTGATCTCGTGGATTCTTGAAGGCTATGATGTAATGAGCATTTCTTGAAATACTCTTGGCAAATTTCCCCGGTGGAAACATATCTTGGCATAAATACATCACAGTGATGTTTTGATGATGAGAATGTTTAGTGAATAAATCCAACACCTCTTTATCGTTCCCTCCTTCAGCCATCAAGTCATCCAGTATCAATAAACCTCCTTGCGGAAACCATGATTTCAATTGACTCGACGCGGGTACACCTTCGTGAAATTTCACACCTGCTTTTTGCATATCGGTAAATGTATCTTGCCACGCTCCGTAACAATAATGGACTTTCGTAGGAGGATTCACGAATAACTCGTTCAAATGCTCCAAGAGTAATACTCGCGTAAAACAAGTCTTTCCACACCCTGACGGTCCTACCACCAAATATTGGAGGGTGTCTTGAATTGGAATGTTTTTCCCATTTCCATTGTGACAGAATGAAGGGTTCATGAAACGGGTATCACTTTTTATGGACTTGAAAAAGAGAAAAAATAATATATGCCCTGACCGGGATTCGAACCCGGGTTATTGTGGCCACAACACAATGTCCTAACCACTAGACCATCAAGGCAAAGACTGTGGACCCGAGGGGAATCGAACCCCTAACCTTTGGATTGCAAGTCCAACTCTCTACCTGTTGAGCCACCGGCCCACCCAGTCAAGACGACACCAAATTTAATCTTTTAACAACTCAACTTTTATTGTTCACATCAACTCTACTTAATTTTTACACAAGATGACGAAGTCCTTGTTTACAAGCGTGGGAATCGTGATGATAATTCTTCTTACATACATGATACCATTCTTCAGAGGCAATCTGTTTTTCTATTTACTTTTTTAACATTAATCCCACTTTATGATCGTTATACACATAATCGTGTTTAGAAAATTGACGCAAGAAATCGTACATAGATTGTTCTCGAGCTCTAGCTCTTTTAAAAATACATCAAGGCATAATCGCCACAACTCTGGCTGTACAAAGATTGTAGACTTTGTTTATTACGAATCACGTATTTCCAATGTTTGTTTAACCAATCTAAAGCGGATCTGTAGTACCATAAGTACTCAAAGGTAAGGCGTAACTGTCCATGACTTCGCAGGTCTTTCCATATGTCCACAATGCAATCCAATGCTTTCCGGGTAAGTAGTGAGGGTCTGTATTCACAATGTATCCTGTAGGTTTTGACTTGTCTGGATGATTGGGTAGCTTGTCGCAAGGTACGGTGCCAAAGAAGACTAGTTCTAAGACTGGATCATGGCTGGCTAAGAAATCCAACTGTCTGTTATTCAGTGTGATCTTTTCCATCTTTAATCTCTTCGAGTGTCGCAAATCACGGCTTTGTTGGCGTCGATCTCAAGTAGGTTCTTGAACTCTGCGTACACTACGACGTTCACGTTAAATCCGAGTGCTTCTCCTAGCAACAACTCTATTTGTATCTCTCCAGCTTGTTTGGGATTTAAGTAACTAGTATCCACACATCCACTTGCCACATTGTCAAACATGAACAAAGTACAGTTTTTGCCTTCCCCCCAATCTTTAGATCTCACCATATTTCCTTCATGTTTACACAGAGCACCACTGGCTTGCAGGAAACGATGATAACCAGTAAGATCTCTGTCGGCATTATTCATATTCAGTTGTAATGTCTCGTAAGGGTACTCTTCACCTTGTATCAACTGTCTAATGCTGATCAAGCCAAATTTCTGGAAACAGAAGGGATCTCTGGTATAATCACCATTGAAGGCTCTGGAATCCACCATTCCTACAACCATTCGGTTAGGAACTCTGCTCTGAAAAGGATTGCTGATTTCCTTCCGTTGCAGTCCAGCTTGTAAGGGAAACGAACAAACCTCGCTCCTCACCACAGCGTAAGTGGCCATTTTGCGTTTGGTGGCCATTTGGGTGGTTAATCCTCTGTAGACGGTTTCGTTTAGTCACAATTGACACAAGTACAATCGCACTTTGATATCTTCTGTAACCATTCTAGCAGCCTGACCCACACCGTCCGTGAAGATAGAAGGTTGATTCATGTAAAATTGAATGTTTATCTGTACGCCAGGTACCAACACTTTACTGAGCTGAAATGCTTCCAGTAAGGGTTTGAACGTCAACATTCTCCTTTTTCCTCCTGCGTAATGGGTCAATTCGGCTACTTGAGCTGCCAAGGCATCTTTGTGATTCTGACTGAGAGCTTGGTATTCCGCGTGTCCAGCTCCATCCTCGGCTTGCAAGTTCGTGTTGTTACCCGTGTACTCTTCTTTGACATCGATCTGATTGAACCAGCCTTGTGGAGCCAACACGGTTTTGCCGTCTTCTCTGTTGTAATTCAGTAAGGTCTCCAGGTAAGCTTTGTAGTGATAATGATCCAGGTTGTCATTCATCAGCGTACCATTGAGGCTCACATTGATTTGTTTGAATAGACTGTGAGCCAAGTTGTTAACGGGCCACCAATTTTCGGCAACTGCCAGATTATCTCCGTTGGCTTTTTTCAATCCCAATTCAATTTCGAAGTAACTTCGACTCAAATCAATGTAGTCCTCTTGAGCATCGATTTGAAATTCGATAGGATTGATACCTGTAGTGTACGTTTGAATGGGTACCATTCGATACGATGACATACTAACGTCTGTAGGTGGAACGTGGAATAAATCCAGCCGTGAATTCATCATAGGTCCCGAATTGCTGTGGGCTGGTACAATGCGTCCTGGCATGATTCTATCGTCGTCTTCTTTTGCTACGTTTCTTAGACAATAACCTTCTCAGATCGTAGCCAGGTGGTTTTGACACTTCTGAACTAATCCAACCTCCTTTTTGTAGTTTTTTCGAACGTCTCTTTTTCAATCTGTTTGCCAACGGTAATAAATTTAATCCTTCTCCTTGCTGTCTACCCACACCTCGTCGTTTTGATCTGACCAGTTTGAGGGCACGAGAGTAAATGGGCGTGAAACGATTCATTCTCCAAATATGTCTTTCAATCGTTTACTTGCTTGTCTCTGTATTTCTTTCTCCAATCCTCGTTTCAATCCTCGTTTGAAACCTTTCTTTACACCACTGGCTACGTTGACTGGAGCCTTGAGTGGATTGTAACTCCTTTTTAAGCCTTCCCATCCTCCCGCTGTTGTATTTTTCAAGACATCCATCAAAATGTATTTCAGGCCTTGTCCCTCTTGCTTGGAATCGGGTCGAAATCTCATTAAACTTCCTCCTTTCATGTTCTCTTGAAATGAAGGGTAAGAATGGTATTTCCTTCACCAAAGTTAGAGAGTTCTCCTGTTGTCTCGGCCACTTGCGTTTCGATAATGTCTACAACTTCTTTGCGTACTGGAATATATTGAATGTGTAATAGTTCAAAGTATTTTATACCTTTTCCTTCGCGATGAAAATTGATCTCACGCAACAAATCCGTCACTTGATTTCCCACAACATTACTTCCACCCACGTCAGAATAGACGAATAGGCTACGTGACTTTTCTCCCACCACGTTCTGAAATGCATTGTTGAGGTTCATGAAGCGCCAATTACATGTTGTACTCGAAACGAAATGGTCATTTTGGACGTTCCAAATCACGGGATTTACGTTGTCGTCCTGGAGATCGTGAACTGTATTCTTTAAATCGGGTATCACATCATTCACAAATTCTTGTCGTAGATTGGGACCGAGAGCGAATGTTCCATCATTGCTCTTCCTCAACCATCCCATCTTGATGGCCAATGTTTGATGAATGGAAAATAAGGGAGATTTCACTAAAGCAGTATACACTTCAGTATTATACATTATCATATCCTCTCCTTCCCATCGAAACTTCACATACAAGCGTTCTCCACTATCTGTGACGAATTTGCTACCAAAAATCGGACCATCGTAATTCAAGATACGTCGTTGTTCGAAAAAAATGATCATCGCTTTCATCAAACTGACACCATCGACAATAGAGTAAAGTCTATGGATATCGTCAGGTGCACATGTAGCAGTACCTTCTCGACGATTTATACCTGCATATTGCGTGGGAACATGTATGATCCAACGCATAAAGAAAATAAATTCTTCTTGTTTCACCAAATTATAAATGTTCACTTTGGCATCGGGAATGGAAATGCTACTCAATCCCACTTTCCATCCTCTTTCTGGGAACCGTAACGGGTAGGGTAGTCTATTTTTGAAATAATTCGGTCTGTTATTCGGATATTCCGATTTGTTGCTACTACTCAACACTTGCACATAGAATCCCTCTTTGGCCATCATTTCTTTTTACGTCCTTCTTGTCAATCCAACTGTCGTATTTATCTGGCCAACCTTTCCAATGTACCAGCAATTTATTCCCTGTACGTTTCAATACTTTTTCCACTCGATACAAATCGTCGTCCGATACGGTGACTTTTTGTAAATCTTGCATGTAAAAAGTACCTTCCAAAGGTGTATCATCCATCTCTTTGATTTTATAAGTAGTAACTGCTCCTGGCATAACTCTGGATACTATAAACACTTCTTCCGTCCAACCCGGTAAGTAGCCTTTCTTGAATTGTCTGAATTTCTTATTGAGTCTGACACGATCATCTACCTTGAACTTGGGTTTACGAGGTTTCTTGTTCAATTTTTTCTTGTAGAGGGTATTCCACACATCTCGTTCGTTCCTCTCGTTGACTCGAATGGGTGCCATTCCAATACTTCGATGATATGAAGCATTGTATCCTTTCGCCAATGATTGTGATACGGGTAAGTAACTCAAGGTGTTGGCTCTCGTGAAATACCGATACATTCTCTCTTTGAATGTACGATTGAATCGTTCCACTACACTGGCTTTGGTATCTCCTTTGGTAGAGAAATGTACAATTCCCAAATCTTTCATCAAGGTCTGAAAGGTTTTGTTGTAAAACTCTTTACCGTCATCCGTTTGTAATTTCTGAGGTTTTCGTCCGTCAGCTCGTTTCAATATCTTCTCAAAAGCTTCCGTGACAGCTACACCGGTCTTGGATTTGACGGGTTCTACCCAGGCATACTTGGATAAAACATCCACGGCCACGAGTAAATATCTATTTCCCTTGTTGTATTTAGCTATGGATTGAACTTCGATCAAGTCACAACACCATTGTTCGTCGATGTTAAACACTAGCACCGGTAGTGTAGGAAACCCGCCTCGGCGTCTAGGTTTGTGTAACGTGTACCCTAAATCATTTTCCAAGAGAGCTCTGGCTTTTCCAATCGACAACTTATTGGCTTTGGCAAATCTTTGTACTCCACCCAAACTGCCAGGCGCTTCAGGATCTCCATACGCTTTCAGTAAACTAGTCTATTTAACTTTGGCTTTGACTTTCTTTTTGTTCGACATGACGTAGACTCACTAATATCTCAACCAATTTAAAGAAGGATAAACAACGTTCGGGGTATTTCAAGGTTATTTCTCTGTAATAATGATAAGCAAATTCCGGATGATTTCTATGTAACCAAACCACAAATATAACAAATCTGAAGATGTTATCTTCTGTATCCGCTTGTTGGAATATCTTGATAGGATCATTCTCCCCTTCATTCAATGCATTCAAAAACTCAAAACTTGAGTCTGGTTCATCATATCCCTCGATGATCAGTCGATAAATATCGAGACAAATATCTCTCACTATTTTCCAACGAATGTGTGTCATAATTTTGCAAC